TCTGTATCTACTCGTCCTCAGCACACAGGCCCTTCTGTCTCTCCTCTTCCTCAGCACACAGGCCCCTCTGTCTCTCCTCTTCCTCAGCACACAGGCGGTGACTTGGGGACAGGCTCACCTGGCACGACTCCGTTAGTAGCAATGGCGCTCATGGAGATAGCGGTCAGCATGGTCTGGAAATGGAAGGGAAAACGAACAGATCAGCACTTCGGATGGATGAAAGTCTTCATTGTGATCCTCTGCTGGAGAAAACTCTCGAATGTAAATCAAGGGTTTGTCACGTCACAAGCATATACTGTATCACACTAGTAAGACCTCTGTTCTTTACACTGACCTCACAGAATATTGTGTATCATTTTGGTCACCATGTTACTAAAAAAGGAACCTTTTTACAATCCAACAGAGAAGACTAAAAAGGAACCTGATACAATTTTTAAATTCAATTTATTAGTATTTACTTATTTTTAAAAACAGTAGTTCACTGATAGGGTCACCCGGGGGACTCCTTCAGAATAAACAGAGAAGTATGAGCCAGAGGATGCAGGTGGAAACAAGGGGGGAGGTGAAATACAGCTGGGAACAGGAGGCACTTCGTTGTGGGAAGGGCTGTGGGGGTCTGGAACGAGCTGCCCAGTAATGCGGTCAATACCCTGGCGAACAGTCCAAGCCTCTGTGACTGCTGAGCATTACAATCCATTGTCAAACCACCGAGAGCTAAAAAAACCCACAACATCATATTTCAGAAAAAGAAAAACAAGCTTTGAAACTATTTACAGCTGAGCAGGCGACACGAGATTCTGCGCAACTCTGTCTGCAGTCACTTGAAACGGTTCTGAACTTCCACAGGGCGTCTCTGCTGCTCGGCCGGCGGCTCTGCCCCATTCCTGCAGGGGTGGGAGGCGACACTGGACAACCAGGGCAGCCCGGCCGGCACGTTCTGAAGCGAAAGCCCCGGGAAGCAGCCCCGGCCAGTCCATCGACAGAGAGAGCAGGAGGGCGGCGAGCACCAGAGAGAGCAGGTGGAGCGCGAGAGTGAGTGCAGGTGGAGAGAGGGGCAGAAGAAGGAAGATGAAGCCGCAGTAGAGGAACCGACTAGTCTGGCATCAAGTCTGCTGCGCAGGAGAGGGGAAAAACTGTCCTGCACCCCTGGGAAGATGAGGAGTGTCACTTCATCACATAGCACAGTAAACAGGAAATATCGGTCAGTTGGTCACTATGCCTGTTTTGCAATCAGAGATACCAGTAATCCTGATGCTTTTTTTTGGGAGGGGAGGGAGTGATTCCTTATTAAATAGCAGTAGATAAACTGCCTCTTTAACACAACTGTTGAGCAGAGGTGAAGTGCTTAACTCACACTTTCATTTGTTTAAATTCTAGGGCAACTCCATCCTGTGCTCAAGAGACCTGCTAAATGTGGGACCAGTTGTTCAACCTACTGGGGAAGGGTGAGAGAGTCAGAGTCAGAACCACTGGGAAGAAACAGATAGAGAAAGAGAGCAAACTGATGGAATCAATTTGACTGCAAGTCTTTTTCTCAATTTGATCTCCGATGTGAGTAATGGCAGTGAGGAATTTTAAGCTGTTGCTAATCAGGTTAGTGTTAACTCTGTATACAACCCTCCCTGCCAGGCGGCCATTGCTGGTTCTGAATTACTCTCTAATCAGGTATTAATGAAGTGAGCAGGGCTCTCTGAAGGAGGGAGATAAGACGGTAATTGTTTTAGCTTTGTTATCTGATTGAGAGAGTCTAGAGCTGAAGCTGAAGGGACTTTAAGCAAGTGTGGTTGACACAATGACATCACCATGCAAACCTAATGACATTGCTCTAATGCCTCAGTGAGAGACAGCATCGCGCTGGAAACCCAATGACATCGCTCTACCACCTCAGTGAGAGATGACATCAGGTACAGAACACCAGTCCTTGCGGCCAGAATCCAACAAGACTGGGTCTCTTTAAATAGTAAATAGCTGAAGATACTATTTTGATATTTCAATAGGGTTAAACTGGTTCAATTATGCTAATAATGAGCTCAATAAGAACAGAAATGGAAGGAAAACTTGCAGACAGTGCCTCTCCAGGACTGGAGCTGTGCACCACTGCTCTATAGTCTCAGTGAGTGATAGCATTGCTCTGCTGACATCATGGCATTGTTCTGTAGCCTCAGTGAGAAATAATATCAATCCACTGACATAAGGACAACTCTCCACAGCCTTGCTGTGAGATGACATCACTCAGTAGCCATGCTGAAAGAATTACAGCTCTCCTGAGGGATGTGTTCAGCAGGTTCACACTATTTCTAAATTAAGCTGGAAGGTATTCTGTAAGCCCTGTCTCTTAACCAGGGTCACACTGGTTCGACTGAAGGGCCCACTGTTATCCTGCCAGCTATTCTAATGAAGTGTGCTTGTGATGTAGAGACTGTTTCCAAGGATACTCAGGGATGCAGTAGGCATCTTACGAGCAAACCTTTCAGAGGAGGGTGAATAAGAAAAAAGCATACAGAGATTGGTATTTATTAGCATCATTAACAATGATACACATTCACCCAGACTGGGGTTTACTGAAGCCTTGAAAATTATAGAGAAAAACTCTCAGTATGACCCTTTTTTTGTGTTTACTAAAGGTTCGCCTTTTGCAGTACTCTCACACCAATCACCCATCACAACCCCATTCTGGATAATCTAGTGAAGAAGCACGTTGGCTGCCATTGATACAGAGAGATTGGAGGCCTTATTGGGAGGGCAGGGGGTGGAACAGGAGTTGTGCCAGCAGCCTTTTTCATTCCTCAAGTTAAGCAGGCCTGGGCAAGCGCAATCCTTCATCACTGGAGGGGGACCAAGAACAATCTTCTGCAAGGCGTCTGAGGACAGGGATAAAAATAACCAACTCTGGTAGTGAACTGTCTTCAGAGCAGCGTGCCGCGGAAGGTCAAGAGATAGATGTCACCGTACTGATCGATCTGTATATTAGCTGTGAGAGGACAGGACAAGCTGCCCAGGGGGTCTGAGATAGCAGAAACAGCAGTGGCAGGCTAGGGCACACACTGGCTTATGTGAAGGTGGCAGCACAGGGTTTAATTCACTAAAATGGGGAAGGACACCCTCATGGGTGTGGCTGTTAGCGATTGAAGAAGGATCCTTTGTACTGCACAGAATTTTGACAGATATACAACTCTTTACATGACACTGAACATTTATTTAATTGCAAGCAATTATTTTTCTCCAGCTGAGTTCCTGCATTTGTGGGTGGTTAAGTGGGATGTTACTGTATGAGTTCAACGGTGAAGAGACAGTCAGAGTCCACTGCAGTGGAGGCAGGTCTCCACCTTGCAATCGGGTTTCAGTGCATGTACTGTCAATGAACCGCATTGGACAAAACCTATATATTGAAATCGCTGCTATTTAGTTAGCTGCATTTCTTATAGAGAGATATTTGTCTTTGTAACCTCTAAGGAAAGCCCTTTAGAATGTGTGCCATATGACAATCTGAAACTGTTCTCTTGATTAAAGGGTTCTGAGAGACACAGTGTTGTTCATCTCACGGTTGACGTTTATTTAAAAACTGAAGGGACGTACATCCAGAAGCATTAATCTGCCAGAAGATATATTCAACTTTTGTGCAGAAAGGTGAGAAAAGCTCTGGTGGAAAATGTTTCTAAAAGCATACAAGTGACTGAGCCAAAGTGCTTTTGCCTGGTTCAGTGCCTCCGTACGCAATTTCTGAGGCTGTACTGCCGTGTGGATTTCTGTATTAAATATGTATTTAAATATAAAAAACATGGTTTTTGAGAATTGAAAACATTGAGACTGCATTTTCTGACTGTGTCTTCCATTAGGAATCCCTTGGGTGAAAACAAAGTGTTATATAAATATATACAGTAGTGCTGCATTTTCATGCATATATAGCAACATTGAAAAAACAAAACAAAACAGCTGAATATCTTGCATAAGACAGTACAGTGCTACATTTCTGGCAGACACGCAGTTCTGTACTGAGAGCAGCTTTACTGGTCTGGTCAGTACAGGGAGAACAGACATGTGGGGAAAAACAGGCTGCAGTTGTAATGAGCGCCGGTGGAGCAGTAGGCGGCACTCCTCTTGTATGGAATACAGTGAAATCCAATGCCACTGTTTACAGGAGTAGGACTGTTAACCCCGGTGTCCTGGCTAAACACGAACATATAAAGGTACCAAACGAGAGAAACAGAGATACTTTATAGTCCACTGCTGCGGAAATGTGTCTTTTTACCCCTCTAGCTCTTCTACTAGGAACAACATTGTCTTACCCTTGACAGCAGCGCTCCAATAAACCATGCATTTATTGTTATTTATTTAGGTTTTTTTCCTCAGTAGAATGTCTTGCATAACAGTGTGCAACACTGCCTCTCCGGCACGTCGGGGATGACACACGGCTCTGTCCTGGGCGAGTTGAAAAACCCTCGTGTCCGTTTCCCCCCCTGCTCTGCTGTATGGCTGTTTCAGTCTCCCTCTCTCTCCTGTTCTCATCCTCTCTGGTTCTCCTCTTCCCTTTGCCTCTACAGGCTGTCCCCACCTCCATCGATCAGTGTTTCACCCTGCCTCCGTCTCCGCTGCGCCTCGCTGGTCCTGCGGTCTTCCAGCTCCACCCGCGGGGCCTCTCCCCCTCCCTCCTTCTTCCCTCCACATCCCCTGCCTCTGCTCGTCTCTCCTCCCTGCGCCTTCTCTCACCCTTCCCATGTGCCCGTTGCCACGCTGGAAAGCTTCAGGAACCACGTGCACTTCTCCTCCTTTTCCCCCCAAATCAAGAAAATGACAGAATAGCAAATATTGGATGACAAAATTCAAAAGCATAAAATCTCATCTCTCCATCCATCTGTCTGGTTCATGTGCTGTTATTTAAGGAAGATCCAAATGCCAATAAGGTTTGAATATTTAATGAAACAAATGTCATTACTTAACCAGACATGATCATTGCGATAAATCATTAATGAGGCAAGCAAACTACGTTAAACTACTCTAGTGTCAGGCCCTGTTGTAGTGCCGAGGTGATTCCTCCTGTAATTGTAGCAGGATAGCAAGGTGCCTGTCGCTCTTCATTGGAAAGCCACGCTGTTTTCTACAGACCTCCTGACAGGGTCGGTTCAGTTATAAACACGCTCCAGTGCAGCCCGAACTGCAGCAGGAATGCAAAATCATCTCCCTTTTTTCCTAGCTGGAGGGCAGAGTAACGCAAAGGGCTTTGAAAATTGCACAAACTGTATGAACTGGGTGGGGTGCTGGCCATCCTGTTTCCCTGCTCGGCTGCCTCTCCTGGGTTCCTTCTGGTTTGCTCCTTGGAGTCTAAATTCAGAGGCTCGGTTGCCATACACACGGCATCAGCCAATAAAGGCTCCTTTTAGGATTTCCTGGAAACTGACTTGCAGATCTTTATGAGCTTGATAAGAACATGCTGTAGCCTTGCAGTTTTCCCTTGCACGGAGGGGGATGATGCAGTTTTTCACATAGAGTCCAGACTTGCGTGTGTTTATCAGAAGTGCTGTCATACAACCTCTCCCTGCATTAGGGACTTTAAAACGCAATATCTGATCAGACAGGAGAAGCAGGCTGTGCAGTCAGACTCTGGCAGGTTTATATCCCACAGGGATCTTTGGGTTTGCAGTTGAAAAAAACTGTTTAATTTCTGTCCAGGGGATAGACAGCTGTGCACTGTGGAAACAAGGGGGTTAAATCCTTCAGGCACAATAGACCCATTTTGGCACAAAGGCTGCTGCGCTGTGGAGAGAGCAACAGTTTAACCTTCTTCAGCAGAACTTTGCTAATGGCTTCAGTCCGCAATAAAAGGAATTAAAAGAGAGGGTAAACCTTTCTCTTTCAGACGTTTTTTCTGTTTTACGCGTTCCTTGAACAGATCTGGTGTTTCAGAGGCTAATTTATTTTTAGCCCTCTGATCTTCCCACTGCTCTCTGTGTGCCAAGCTGGGCTGTGTTATGTAAGAACCCCGGTACTTCTCACTGCCAGGCTGATCTCAGAGCCGGCTGCCCAGGGGGGTCGGGGCTAAACCATGTGGTGCAGAAGGGGAGGGGGTAGGTGGGGAGGAGAGGGATGACAGGCCACTCCACTCTGCTCCCCGCAGGGGAGAATGGAACGACCTGAAGAAAAGAAGGCTTTCACCAGCAGTGCATCACTGCCCCACTCCTCAGATCCAAACTCTTGCCGTTTTCATTTACTATTAAATGTGCAACTCAAAATGAAATTTACATCATGCCTAGGCACTCTAGTCACCAAGGGGTCTAGGAAAGAGCAATTTTGATCCTCCTACTTCGACCCACTGGCACCAGCGCAGAACCTGCGGCCAGCACTCTTTTCCATTTGTGAAACTGGTGTCGGATGAAGCCGCCCGGCCCCGCCGCAGGTTAATGGGACTGTGTTGAGCAGAGGAACGGCAGGCGAAGGAGCCCTGACTTCAGCGGAGCAGTGGGAGGCCTGCTATTTATAAAGCCTCCTCCACTCTCCAGCAGAGGGAGCCGACTCGTCAATGAGCGCGAACAAGTACACATGCAAACACGCAAACACGCAAACACGCCCACCCACACGCATGCACCCAGAAGCTCAGGAGCTCCGGGGGACATTCCTAATGCATTCGTCCCTGATACAGCCTTTCCTTTGCTGAGGGGTCTGCAAGGAGGCGATGCCTGATTCTGCGTGCTGGAGGTTTTTACGGTGATGCGTGAGGCAGCCCCTTTGTTAGATGTTAACAAAACCTCTGATGAAAAGGCTGCTGTCTTCTTCCTCTCCAATTCTGTCAGTAACTTGCTTGCATAGCAAACGCCCGTTTATATCTTTGCACTCTTAGACCTGCTCAGTGTTTATGGCTTTCAGAGAGGCAGCCTGAAATCCATTTAAGAATGACATAAATTGTAAAAAAAAAAATCAAACTGGCTAATATATTCTGTTCTGCTGAAACACTTCATGGGCTAAACACACAAACAGGCATTTCACAAGCTCTGAGATGAGATGACTGGTGAGTGGTTAAAGTAATTTCCAATGATGGTCTTCTCCACTCTGTCCAATCAATTATTTCCCTATCTCTCAGAGCACTCAGGGGACCGATCTGCACTGTCCTTGACGGGAAACTGAATATCTGTCAAGAGGCTGTATTAGAAAGACAGTAACTGCAGGAACCATAAATACAAATAAATCACATGCAGGTGGAAAAGGGCCAGAGCCTATCTGAGCTTTAGTGGTGGTGGGACAGTCTTTGGATTTTGTGTTCTCAAGATACAAAGTCACGGCATGTTTCCAGTGTGTCTGCAGCAGATGAGCAATGCCACTGCAAGCGCGGACATCTTATACAAGTTGTCACTATATGAATACAGGATCTGCATTTATGATCTGGATTCTTTTCATCTTCATCCTGAAGGATCCCAAACGTGCTTTCTGTGTCGCGGGGGCCTACTTCATCTCCCACTGCCTGCCTCTCACCTCCACCTAGGTGACATGTGTCAGCCATTAGGTGATCACCTAATCACCCACAACCCCCACCCCCCAAGGATCAGGGGGAGGAGTGAGAAATCGCTTAGGGAGGTCGAAGATTGTTTAGTGTGAGAGTAGATGACAGCCAGCAGAGTAGTGTTAATACTCCTAGCCTTACAAACAGTGTTATATTTAATGACCAAGTAGTCATGACCTTAGGTACACTTCTTATTTGGAGGATGGCACATCCTATAGCACCGTGTCACCGATCACTCGGTGTGGAACTGGTTGGGAAAGTCTGATCCAGGGGGAAAAGTACCTACATGTTGGTCCCACGACACTACTTACAGTGTGTATATCCGAATATATTAGTGGAGGTCCGAATGTATTAGTCTGAAGTGACTTACGTCTCTAGTATACTATAGAAAGGTATACAAAGGTTTCCCCTAATGCTTCAGAAGAGGAATTGCTACAGAGAATAAGTTGAATGTTTTCAGTGATTCCTGCATATCACCCAAATATGCATACTGGACAAATAGGACATCAAAGGGTCTTTATATATCAGGGCACTTAATGAGCCTCCCAGCATCACATTTGGCACAGAAGCGCAAGATTAGTGGGATTAACAAGCTTGTTTATCCTCTTTCTTTATACTGCATGTGAGCCTTCACTGTAGAATCCTTCAATGCAGTCCAAGGGCGAGCAAAGCAGTTTCTAGGTTTCCTATTAAAAAGTCTACAGAAGGAGGAGTGTGGGACGCTCAGAGGCAGGGTGCCTGTACAAGTGTACTCTGAGAGGACCTGTGAGACGAGAGGGTACTCACAGTGGAGCAGCACATGAAGACGATGATGAAGGACTCCATCACCCCACCAACGCCCACCACCCAGGTCAGCCGCAGGAACAGGATCACGCCGAAGATGTTCTGCAGGCAGGGCAGGTAAACGCCCATGAAAGTGCCCATCCGAGGAGCCTGGCAGAGACAGAAAACGCACACGGCATCAGTAATACCAAGCAAAGTTAAAACAGCGAGGGCGCCCGAGGAGAACTTGTTTATCAATAAAAATGGTGGAGCATTTAAAACCATCATTATTAACATGTCTTGAAATGCCCACGGCAGTCAGCCTACACTGTCATTGTCATTTCAGCCCAGGCATAAATACTGGCCACTTAGTGTTGGATGTTTTCCATTTCAACACCAATGATTATGCTGTCATTAATATCATGTTAGCTGATCTACCTTCACCACTGATCGAGTGACAGATTAAAACAGGAAGGTGCAATTAGATGTGGCTACTTAATGCTATTGGTACCACATTATTACACAGTGCATAACAACCATGCATTTGCAGCACAAAGAAGCAAAATCTACTGGTATTTACCTAGTGAAATATAATTATTAGCACAATATAGTGTAACAGAATAACTGTGTGACTACTGTGCTATTGTTTTCTACCCTGATTACAACAAAACAACAACAGAAGTTGGCACTAACCCTGTTAAACCCCAGTGTGATACCATATTATCACTCAGTAGTTACATACTTATTACACCACTGTGAATTCACCATGTTTCTTTACAAACTAACAGCCAGACAACCTGGGACATCTGTAGGAGGGAAGTTTTTTGGTCTTTGCCAGATGAACACAAAGATCAATCTGTAACAGACAGCAATGTCCTAGGAGAGACAGTCTACACCGGCAGACACGCACCAACTAAATGTGGAAATGACTTCCTGATAAAGAAGATGGGACAGAGAAAGTATGTTTGAGATTCTTTTGTGTCTGACCTTTCTAAATTGAACCCTGTGATGCTTACTTTTTCTCTGGTCAGAATTAAACAGGAAAATACAGTATTTAGCATTTGCACTGAAAACATATTGCTGGGGATTCTTTGCTGGAAACCAACATGAAGGATATGATTTTGGCAACATTCTTCTAATAACTTATTATAAATGCTAATAGTTTTTATGAAGCGTGCTCAAGATACTGTTTCGTGAGCAACATGAATGTCAGTTTACAGTTCGACAATCACACTTGTGGCTAAAGAATGCTGCCCATCCCATTTAGCATGCAAGAGTTTCACCTCGAAATCCCCGTCACAAGCTGTGCGACTTCTCCAAGAAATATTAACTTCCCGCAAAGGTGCTTTTAATTTTAATGTTATTTCAAGTCTTTGGAAGGTATCTGTTCTGCAAAAAACGCTATCCAAGTAATCCCAAGCAAATTGACCGAAACTGTTCAATCCAAGTAAAACATGCTTGGATGCATGTGTGCTCGTTCAAACCTACATTCCCCACAGATACTGCTGTGCTGTAACAAAATTTAATCATAGCAATTTACTGCCACTGTTCACTGCATCCTAGGGGTCCCTCTTAATAAAAGGCCAACAGAATCTGAATTTCCTTGGGGGAGGCATATACAGAATAGAATGGTTTTGTGTTCAATGGGAAACACAGATGGAAGTTAATTTTTTTTGCCATCTGACTGATGATCCCTGAAAACTCTCTTGATTTTATGAAACAAAAGAGCCTTTAATTCTTCTCTCTGTTTATCGCTATCATCCCACCAGGAGGAAGAGGCTTAGTTATTGCATCCCCACACCAGCTGCAGATGTCGATACTGATACTCTCTGCGTCTGCATCACAAACACAATCAGCTGCAATTTGTCAGCAAATCGCTGTTTGCGAAGAGCCTGATTTTATGCATGAGAAAAATTACAACAATAATGATGTGCTTCAAGTACAATTTTAACAACTAATGAGAGAGAAAACAGAAAAGCAGAAAAGGCTGGGAAATAAACAAGGAAAAACTATATCAGGAAAAATGAGAGCAAGCCTTCAGCCAGTCTAAAATGAGACAGACTATTCAGATTTCATTAAGCATAACCAATTTCATGCGTTGCAAACAAGCAATAGGCTTTAAAACAGAAAAGTTGCTAGGGTCCTGTAATGAAATAACTATAGAAAATGCTCAGGTAAATTATCCTGTATTTTTAAAAGCACTTTTCCTGGCCATATGCGAACTACTAATGAACACCTACAAAACACTGGTTGATTTTATAGCTATTACTTCAGAGCACGGAAGGGTCATATAAATAAGCCAACCTGCGAGTTTACTCCCAGCAGTCCCCTGTGGCTCAGGGCCGCCCGGCTCAAACCGATTCTGTGTCTCAACAGAAGTGCAATACTGTGCGTTTAATCTCAACGAACAGGGAGAGAGCTTTTGAGCATGCAGTGTGGCATTTAAAAATTAATTAGACATAGAAGATGCTGATTGAATAGAGATGTGCAGGCTCTCCCGGGGGTGATTACCAACACTGAAGGCTGGCCGAAACAGGCAGCTGCCGAGACCCAGGGCGCCTCGGGAACTGGCCGGGGCTCTGGGGACGGATCTTCAGAGACAGAAATGTAAAGAATAGTTTAAAACCTGTTTTGAAAAAACAAGCCTCTGCTCAGTGGAAGGCTGGCTATCGGCTTCAAACGTTGTTTTTCATCCGAGTGTTAGAGTGCTTCAAGGGCTAAGCTCTATTGTAAATGCCAAGTGAAAACGTGTTACAAAAATGGACAGGAAAATGCTGCTTTTTTTGTTTTTATGGTGGAGGTTGTTGCATACTGGGAAATGGCCCATCTTGAATGGAAATGGGTCCATTTCCCATTCAGCAATGCGAGGATCCCATTACTGAAGTGCCAGGTGAGGAGAGAGCTAGACAGACTCCTTTCCCCTGCGGATGATGATTAAATTATATGATTTATGGAAGCATATATACAGTGCGGATACAGTATGAACTCTGTATGGGTGGAATTAAATGCTTTGTGGACAAAAGAATGATAACTCGCACCCCCTGAGCACTCAGCTCACACTCCTTTTCACATCTCCCACACGCCCTGCTGGGGTTCACTTCTTCCTCGCCTGAGGCCCCCTCCTGCAGCACGCCGGCGGAGCACAGGAGCGTGCGGGAGAGAGCCGAGGTCCAGTTTGTAACATAGCCATTTATCACCAGTGATAGCATGCCTAGGCCGCAATGCGTTTTTCTGACGGGCCTGCTAGTGGGCTAAAGAGAGAATGCACTGTCCTGTACGTGACTTTCCACACTACACAGAATGAAAGGTGCCTCTGATTCTCCGATGACTCGTGGGAAGACTCTGCTTTCGGAGAAGAATGCCAGCCTTGTCACGGCACAGACATGGCCACAGTCTCCAGTGATTACGGAGGCACCGTAGCTGAGGAGCCTTCTGCCAGGCTGATCTCCTCGTGACGGCTTCAGGGACTGTTTCAGAAGAACACAGCCTCTCCGTGCGGAGCGCTGAGGTTCCCCTGCTGCGGGACAGTGCCTCCGCTCCTGCATGTGTTGGAAAGCTCTTTTCCACAGCTGGGTCTGCTAGAACCCAAAGCTATTCAGTGGGTTTTTCCACTGTCAGGTGAGGGCCAGTCTGGGCCAGAGAGTGGTGTGTGGGGGTTGTGCAGCATGTGTGGAGACTACTGTGGGTATGTGTAGTGTGTGAGTGTAGCATGTGGCTGTGTGCACCTGTGTGAGTGTAGTGTAGATGTGTGTAGTGTGTGTGAGTATAGTGTGAGCGTAATGGGGCTGTGTGCATGTGTGCGTGATTGTTGTGTGGCTGTGTGCATGTGTGTGTGATTGTTGTGTGGCTGTGTGCATGTGTGTGAGTATAAACTGGGTGTAGTGTGGGTGTGTGTATGTGTGTGAGTGTAGTGTTGCTGTGTGCATGTGTGTGAGTATAGGGTGGGTGTGTGCATGTGTGTGTGAGTATAGGGTGGGTGTGTGCATGTGTGTGTGAGTGTAGTGTGGCTGTGTGCATGTGTGTGAGTATAGTGTGAGTGTGTGAGAGTAGTGTGTCTAAAATTCTAAAATATTATAAAGGACACCATCACAGTACAAAGGACACCATCACAGTACAAAGGTACATACAAACTATTTCTGTAAAGACTGAAATGTGAAGAACATGAATGTCATTTATTAAGAATGACCCAGGGGCTCTGAGGGAGAGAATTACATTGAAGGACAATTAATCTGAGCTGTGACTGGAGGAGCACAGCAGTTAGATTTCCCTCTCTTTGGAGAAGATAATGTTCTCGCCTTTGAAATCTGAAGAGGCAAGGGAAAAAATCCCATCAACAGCACCAACAATTCATCAGAAAAGATTAAAAGAAATTAAGATAAAGTGCCCATATTCCAGCTAAAGCTTACATTTCCCTGTTCATTAAGTCATTACGAGGCCTGTTCAGAAAATAAGAAGTTGCAGTAAACTGTAAAACCTCTTACAACAGTTCACAGAAAACTCCCCTCTATTCACGATGCAGCATTTTCTATAGATGCGCTCAGTAGAAGGTGCAGCTGCCACCCTGATCTTAACATACAGTAAGAGCAGGAATGACAGACCTTCAAGCCTGTGGGATTCCTTGATCAATGAGCAGACCGCATGGCCCCTCGTTCCCCTCAATGTGACTCCATTAACACAGCTTCTGTCAGAGTAGGGTCTGCTGTCTTTCTTACACAAAGACTGTAATCATGGAGGAGGCCGATTCGTGGTCAACGCTCTGGAATGGAGTGTCAAGGGAGAGGGCCCAGCAAGCTCAAATGGGAGGGAATAAATGCAATTTCCCCCGATGCACCTAACCTCAGAGATAACAGTGAGCAGTGCAGTGGTGATACACAGATATCCAAGCCATCCAAAGCCTTGGGCATAGAGCCACACCAGATGTCAGAGAAGGGAAGGCTGTTAATTTAATTAACCTGAAATATTAATTCCTGATTAACTGCATGCTGGTGGGAAATAATTCATAAAAAATTAAGCATCTACTAAGTTTTTTAACAGGTTATATAACTGATATTGAGGCTATTTTTTTTTCTGCCTACACAGAACTGGCTGTGATATCTGCGCACCTAAAATCCAGTTGTATTCTGTTGCTATTTTATTCCCCAGCAATAGAAGCACGGAGCCCAGAAGTGAGT